AGTGTGTCCTGCTTTTGTTGAAGAAGGGGACCTTTCCCCCTCTTCCTTCCTATAAGGCCTTGTGTACTGGCCAAGAGTAGGCAGTGGGACTGCCCCCATAGTCTCTCCTGATTGTGACTTCCACATTTCCTGAAGGCTCTAGAAACCTTGGCAGGGGCTTGTGTAGACCCTGGTCAGTGTCTCCCCTCTCCCCGCCACAGCGTCTGTATCCCCTCCCTTCTGGCTGTGAGAGAGCCCACCAGCTGGTCTGATTCATGATGGCTTATAGGAAAATTTATGCATTATTCAAGGCCTCGGCGGCTCCCAGGCCCTTGCACACCTGGTCTGGTAGGCTCTGACCTTCCCCATCCTAAATCCAGACAGAACCCACTGCTGTGTTGTGGTACCACCAGCTGGTACCAATGTGTATCCTTCATCCTTGAAATTCTTGTCTTCTCAATGAGGCAGGGACCCTGTCTTTCGAGGCTCGTGTTCCCTCCACTGCTGGCAGAACGAATGGTTTCACCCACTCAGTATGCGTTTTACGCGGCCTGCTCTGCAGGTCTGGGCACTGGCGATGCAGAGGGCAAAGTCCACACCCCTGTCCTTATGGGATCTGCATACCACTCATGTGGCAGTGAGAGCCAGGTCCCAACCAGAACAAAGAAAGGCCAGGGAGGGCAGCGTACCATGGAGCAGAGCACTGATTACATTTTGTATTTGTGGGTAGCTCCATATCCTGTAACTCCATATTATATCACGTAGCCCAGGCTGGCCTTGAACTTGCTGTGCAGCCAGGGATGACTTTGAACTCCTGATCCTCCTGCCTCTACTTCCCAAGAAGTGAAATTACAGGCGTGTGCCACCAAACCTGGCTACAGTGCTCGGTTTTAAAAGGGAGTGGGGAGGAAGGTCTTCGTGGGGACGGGTCCTTTGAGCTGGGATTTGCAGGAAGTGAGGTTGTCTAGAAGCAAAGGGTCACAGGAGAGGAAAAGGCAGGAGCCAAGGTCCCTGTGAACTTGAGGAGCCTGCGGGAGGGAGGCTGTGGGGCTGAACCAGAGAGGGCCTGGAGGAAATCAGAAACGTGTGATCCTGAGGATCAGCCTGAGGAAGCTGGTTTTCCTGTTCGGTGGGTCCAACTCAGGAGTCAGGCGTGTGGCAGACACGGCCCCCACTGAGCCATCCTGCCACCTCTGTGGGAATTCATGAGGTTGATGATTCTGGAGACTCTGGGCTGAGGGCTGACTTGATGTGACTTAACCTTTTTGTTCAGTTTGTGGTGCTGAGGAGGGGACCCAGGACCTTTGTTTTCTGTAGGGAGGAGGCTGGCGGGGGAGGAGGCAGGGGAGAGGTCACGAAGTTCATGAGAGTGGAAGAGGCTGGCCTGGGATGGTGCTGGAAGTGATGCGAAAAGCTGCGTTCTGCTTCTGTTACTGTCAGGGACGGGTCTCACGTGTCCGGGCTGCTCTGGAATTCACTATGAGGTAGAGGGTGGCCTTGATTTCCATCCTCCTGCATCCACCTGCAGGCTGGGATTACACACACGACCATGCCATTTTATTCGGTGTTGGGGTTGAACCCAGGCATGCTGAGCTAGCAAGCACTCTACCTGCTGCGTGCGCTACCCCCAGGCTTCCTCACCCCACTTTGAGACAGGGTCTCTTCATATAACATGGGCTAGCCTTGACCTGGGCTTGATCTTGCCGTGTGGCTGCAGCTGTTGGAGGAGAGGGGCCGAGGGTTGGTTTGAACTTTTGCCTAAAGAGCTTGCAAGGGTGGTGTTGGCGTGGACTGAGATGGGGACAGCATGAGGACCACGTGGTGGAAGAACGGGAACCCAGCTGTGCTGACATTCTCTACTTCTGAGGAGAGCAGCCGGGCTGAGAAGAGGGTGTCCACGGGACAGGAGTATGGGAATTACCAGGGAATTTATCAGTAGCCCTTCTGGGGCTGTGAGTGTGGCCGGCTGACTTGTGGCAGTGCAGACGGGGAGGGAGAGAATGCTTGAGTCTGGGGGGTTGGGCAGGCTGAGGCCCCCTTCCCTGCCTGGCACTGTTGAGGCCCTTCATAGCACCTGCTAGTACTGGGCAGCCTGGCTTCCAAGGCCAGCTCTGAGATCTTTAGGCTCCCTGCTTGCAAAATGGAAATAATAGCAAAGTAGTTTTAGGAAATTAAACAGTGTATGCAAACAAACATCGGGCAGCTTCCCAGCTCCCCAGGTCACCAGCAGGGTGGCCAACAATTCAGTCTAACCCCGCACCATCTGTATGGAGTTAGTGCCAGACCAGACGACACACGCTGGGGGCCCCGTCTCCCGCTCTCGATGCCAGTCACCAGTCTGGGCCCCTGAAAGATACATGTGAATTAGGGGACCCTATAATGTGACTTCATGTTACTTCATGACCCCCTGTTACCGTGGCTGAGCAGAACTGATTACTGTGGCTGGTGAGACGGCGCAGCCGGTAAGGGTGCTTGCCTCACATGTACAGGATGAGTTAATGACTGTGATGGGGGGGAGGGAAGTCTTTTAATTAGTAATGACTGATTTAAGGGTCTGGTGAGCTAGCTCAGTCAGGAAGTGAGCCCACACGGTGGATGAAGAGAACTCACTCCCAGATGCTGAAAGTTGGTCTCTGACCTCACATGTGTTCTGCACATGTACACATTTGCACGCACAAAAACATAAGCAGACAAAACACAGCTGCAGGGTTAGCGAGATAGCTCAGACGGTCCCTGCTACCGAGCCCGAGGACCTGAGTTTGATACTTGGAACCCACAAGGTAGAAGGAGAGAAACCGCTTCAGCAAGTTATCCTCTGGTCCTGCACGCGTACGAGACCCTGGCTCAGAAAACAAATGAGAGTGTAATCGAAACCCAGCAGCGAGAGAGGCGTGGAGGACGAGGTGTGTGGTGGGTGAAGGGCTGCTTCTGTGCTCTTCCGGGCCACACTAGCCTCCCGCCACCACTGGCTGACACTGTGTTGGCCCTTCATGTATGATTGATGACATTACTGATTGACACCAGTGTCCGCCATAGCCCCTCCTCCACCAGAAATGAGGAAAACAGGGCTGTGGTTTCTTTCTCTAATCACAAGACAGTTCCCCATACTCATCCGAGGGGCTTCCCAAAGGCCGCCTCATTAACATAAATCCAGGTGAACCCTTCCTGCCATTTCTGTGGCTCTGGAGCTTTGGTAAAGACTCGGGACAGAAATCCAATATGACAATAAAGATGGTCACACATTTGCCCCACTCAGGAAGGCGTAAGGGTTTGGGGCTCTCGCCAGAATCGGGAATGGAGCTCCTGTATTGGTTTTTCATGTCATTAATGTGCAGATTCCATGTGGAGCACAACGGAGTTGCAAGTGTTAAGTAGGGAGGGAGCGGGGACTCGGGGAATGGGAGAGATGCCCACGGGGCGGGGCTGGGAAGCCTCCTTAGTAGAGTAGATGGAGGGTGGAGAATCAGATGTGCCAATTAGTTTTTGTCAACCTGATACAAGTTACGTGGGAGAGCAGCGTCTTCACTGAGAAGCCGCCCCCATCAGACTGACCCGAGGCGAGTCTGTGTGGCATTTTCTTGATCAGTGATTGATTTGGAAGGTCCGGTCCACTGTGGGCGGTGGCACCACCCCTCGACAGGTAGTCCTGGATTGCATAAAAAAGGAAGTTAAATGAGCTACAAAAAGGCCAGTTAGCAGCATTCCTCCATGGTTCTACACTGAATTCCTTCAGCCATGGGTTGTAATAGGGATGTGTAAGCCAAATAAACCCTTTCCTCTCCAAACTGCTTTTGTCATGGTGTTTGTCGAAGCAACAGAAAGCCAACTAGGGCGTCAGGGCTGCTAGGTTCATGGTTTGTGGCTTGCAGCACAGTGGTGTTTTGAAGGCATCACCAGGTGTGGCGACCACTTCCGGAGAGATGAGAGTGCCTAGAGGTGCTGGGGCCACATGGAAGCTTGGCAAGGAAACTGAGGCCACGGAGAGAACTGGGGGGGTCACATCCTAAGACCTTGCTAGCCAACCCAAGGAGTGGGGAAGTGGGGTGGGCTTTGATGCCTGCTGTGTGACTTCAGCAAGGCGTTTAATGTTTAGGTGTAGTTTCTCCTTGGTAAAATGGAGCCGATGACCTGTTCTTTGCTGGGAAATTGGTGGAAATTCAGGAATAGTGGCCACACGGTGCTGAGAGAGAGCTGGTCTTGACGGCGGTCCATGACCATCTCTTTCCTGGAGACTGGGACGGAGAACTTGAGGCACAGACAGATGGAGGGATGGGTAGGTGGACTGATAGATGGGTGCGTGGATGTCTAGATGAGGAGTTGCAGGGTAATGGAGAGATGGTTGGTGGGTGTATGGACGAGCAGATGGGCAGATGAGTAGGAACATGGGTAAATGAAGAGTAGGGTGGGTACATGCTCGGGGGCGTGGGCGATGAGTGCATGGATGTGTGGATGCTTGGGCAGGTGCATGGATAGATGGTGGGTTGATTGAAGCCTGGGTAAATGAGTGCTTGGATGAATGGGTGGGTGGGGACGGGCGCATGGATGGACACACACCCAGAGATGCAGGGTTAAAGTCCCAGCCATGGCTCTAAGAAGAATTCCAGACCCTAGCTTAGGTCCTGGATCAGTCTAGGAAGCACGAGGTTTATGTTGTCTGTCTGTCTGTCTGTAGTCTCTCATTGCATTTTTCTCCTTGTCCTCACTTTCTCTGACTCTTCAGCTCTCTCCCCTATGCTCTAACTGACCCTCCTTGGTTCCCGCCTCCACTGCCTTCTGCCCTCCTTCCTCTCCCTGTCCGTCCTGCCCAGGCAGCAGGGTCTCAGGAGTTTCCTTTGCACTGTATGAGAGCCCAGATGCAAGCCAAAGGGTGGCTGCGGTTTCAGAGACCTCGCCTTTTAATGGCTGTGCCAGGAAAGAGAGTGACCCATGGTGGGTTCCAGAGATGGAAGAAATTCCAGTCGTCCCTGGTGGCTCCCAGAGTTCCCTGATCCTCCTTCTAACCCAGTTGCTCTGTTCCCTAGGCTGGTGGATGACCGCTGTGTGGTGGAGCCTGCAGCTGGGGACCTGGACAACCCCCCCAAGAAGTTCCGAGGTAAGACCTCCAAACCAGCTGTGAACATCTCTCCCGGGCTGCAGGGTCCCGGACCTGGGTCTGGGTCTGTCGCCCTCAGTCTGCCCGAGACCACCGTCTTCAGTCTGTGTGGACCTTGGCATGGATGGCACTTTCTGCTTTTCCTTCCAAGGCCACGCCCCCTTCCCTGGCACACCCACTTCTGGCCAGGGGCCCATTCTCCCCCCAATTCCTGGCCACTCACAAAGCTTTCTTTGTCTGTGACTTATTTATTTATTTATTTAATTTTAAAAGAGAATAAAGCTGGGAAAGACGATTGTTCAGGCCTCAGAAGGCCCAAGGCCCTTCCCTGTGCCTCAGTCTCCCCATGTGTGAGGTGAAGAGACTAGACCTTTCAACTCTGCCTATTTACTTGCCTCTGGGATGGGACCCCACAGCCCAGGCTGTGTCCTGTGATCTAGTCAAGTGCTCTCCCCTGAGGGCCTCCTGTCCTCTGTGGCGGTGGGCTCCATAGCCCGGCAGTAGCAGGGCTGGATGAAGGGACAGCCTGGCTGTTCTTGGGCCAAGCAGGGGATTGCCTATGAGGGTTGAGGCTGCCGTATGCAAGACAGACAGACCCTGGGCGTGGTGGAGGCAGGGCGTGGCGGGAGCAGGCAGGAACATGCCAGCATGACGCCACCAGGTCTGCAGTGTGGTTGCTCTTCTGGGGGGCAATGCTGGGCAGCCGTAGGGCTAAGACGGCTGCTGGGGCGGGGTGTGGTCCTGCCTATCTGTTGGGGGTGTGGTGGGAATGGTGGGGATTTTGGGCCCGCAGAGGGCCTTGGATCAGCGCTTCTCCATCCATGCTTCCATCGTGGAAGTCATAGGCTGAGGCGTGCCTCAGCAGCTGTGTGGGAATGACCTCTGGCCCCAAACCCTCAGCCTTCCTGGGCCCCACACCTGGCCGCTCCCCGCTCCCCTCCAGCCACAGCACAGGGGTGACTGGCCACCCCTCACCTCCCCACTTGTGCCTCTGCCCTGTGCGTTCTCTCCTCTCAGCAGTGTTGGTTGCGGTCGGTGGCATCAGTGTGACCTTCCCTGACTCTGGCTCCAGTTCCTCCCCTGTTGATTTTTCTGCATAGCTTGAGTCCAGCATGTGCCGTGTTCCGTGTAATTTGCTTGTTCTCTTTGTCTCTCTCAGGGTTTTAGCTGGGTGAGTTCAGACTTAACTGTGTAGCCAGGATGGTTCCGAACCCAGTGCTTCCACCCCGCAAGTGCTGGGATTTCTGCCGCTGTGTGTGTATACCCGCTGGTCACAGTGCACATGCGGAGGTCTGGGGACATCTAAGGAGTGCTCCTGTCCCCGTGGGTTTGCCCTCCAGTTTGTCTGTCATTTGTGCCCCTTACCAGAACAATGGAGGGGACTTTAGTCTGGCTTTGTGTTTCTGGTTTTATTGGAAGTCTCTGCCTCCTAGCAGAGGAGGAGGGAGAGGAAGGTAGGAGGGGCAGAGAAAAGTGAAGGTCCCTTGGGGCCCCTGGCTGCTGCCAGGGCAGGGCAGGGATTGTGTGGACAGAGGTGTGTGCAGACAGGTGACAGGGAGGTGGGTGTGGTAGGGGAAGATATGGACTTGGCTTCCAGTGGACAGTTTGGAGCCAATTTTTGACAACAAGAAGCCACTTAGTAGAACAAATACCCTTTTGACTTGCTGCATTCTTCCCACGCCTCCATCTCCTCCTTTGTGGTTTCCCAAGGCTTGGGTACAGGGACCCCTGGAGGTCCTCTTGGCCTCAGTGGCTCAGCCTGTACAGTGACAGGGGTACCCAGATTCCACCCATCACCTTCTGGGAGTTTTGGGGTTGCAAGAGTCCCCTCCAGGCTCCCCATGGTCCTGTTGAGGCCTGGGTGATGTTAATCTTGGACAGGATCTGTTCTCTGCAGCTTCAGGCTGGCAGGTGCAAGTTGGAACATTAGAACTTGGGACAAGCCTCAGGACTCGAACCCTTCAGACTGAAGCTCAGACAAGTGCCTCACATCTGAGGCCTGCCTGCCTTCTGTTGGTTCCCTGGCTTCCTTCCCTGCAGCACCTTGGCCCTCCCACTGCAGGGTGTGGGGCCATGGCAGGCATCTGGAAGTTGTCAGGTCGTCATCAGACTTTGTTCTGGGATCCCCGGCATTCTGCCCTCCCGACGTGGGGTGAGCCCAGCCATAGCTGAGGACTCTTCTCTCCCACAGCTCATTGTCCCATGACTTTCAGTCCCCACGCCATGTACCTTCTGGACCAGTAAAGCCCCGAGGACCCTCACAGTCTGCTTAGGCTCCTTGTGTGTGGTTTCAGCTCCATCCACGGTTTGCATCACCCAAGCCTCAGCTTGTTCGGGGAATTCTTCCCAGACTTGGCAAGGCCCTCGGAGGCCAGGCTGCTGGTGCCTCACACCGGCCACCCCTATGATGGCTGACTGTTCTTTGCTATGGATGTTGATGCTGTGTGCTGGGCTACCAGCGTGTGCTCCCCTCCTCCTCCTGCGAGGCCAGGGGACGCCAGTTGGGAGAACTCTGCAGCCTTGCTTCAGGGGAAGCTCAGAGTGCACACCTCCAGGCACAGACACCTGGACTAGTGTGTTGAGGTCACCTCATTGCTCACTGATGGGGAGAGGGGCATGTGGTGGCATTCTTTGCTTACATAGCTGGGTGCCTCCCCACCCCCAGCTCTCACCCCTGCTCTTCCAGAGCACTGCCAAGCCCTTTTGGAGCTGGTGGGGTAGCACAGTGGTAGAGCGCTTGCCTAGAATGCAGGGGCCGTGGCTCAACCCCCCAGGATCACCAAACAAACAAAAACGTATTCAGAGCCAGATGAAGTGACCCATGTGTATAATTTAGAACTCATGAGGTTAAGACCAGTGGACCATGGGTTCCACACACACCCCTTAAATCCTAGCACTCTGAAGGCAGAGGCAGGTGGATCTTTGATTTCCTTTTAAAGAGCAAATTCCAGACCAGCCCAAGTTATATAGTAAGACCCTTTCTCAAAACAACAAAACAAAAAGACACCGGAAATTAGCCTCTGGCCACCACATGGCTGAGCTCACTTGCTCGTAAACAGCACGCATGCACGCACGCACGCGCGCGCACACGCACGCGCGCGCACACACAGGCTCTAGGACTAGAGCAGGTACACACAGGGCGGTTATACCTGTGCTAACGGTACCCTCTGTGCAGATTCACTGTCCTGTCCTACTGTCCTGGGAGATTTATCCCTACTGCGTGTGGCCTGAGGCCGCAGCCTAAGTGCTGTGTGGCATTCCATTGCAAATGCACTGACTGGCTAGCCTGTTAATGACCTCAGTTCCCACACATGTCCCCTTGGCTCATGTGTGAAGGTTTCTCTGACAGGTTCCCACGAGGGGACTTTCGGGGTGGGAAGACCACTCCTCTGTCCTGAGAAATGGCTCTGCAGCCTTTTACTGAGGTGGCCACCTTTGTTCCCCGTGGACTTGTGCATGGAGGAGGAGCTTTGAGTCAGTTCTCTGGACTCTTGTTTTGAGACAAGCTCTCTCTCACGCTGGTCCAGGCTTTGCAGTCTTCCAGCTTCTGCCTCCCCAGTACTGGGATCACAGGTGGACACCCTACATGTCTCAGGACTCTAGCATTGTGCTTTCTTCACCCCAACAGCAGAGGGTGCACTCTTGTGAGTGGCTGTGTGATATTGTATTCTGTCCACTCCATTGGTCATGGGTGCCTCTGTCACACCCGGTCTCCAGCAGACTGAGGCAGGAGTCTACTGGCGTGCATGCGCTGGGCTGCAGTTTGCTTTCCAGATGTCTGGTGCGGTATCTGTGTGTGTGCTTGTGGGGAGGCTGGAGGCGATACTGGGTGTTTTCCTTAATTGCTGTCCACTTGGTTTTGAGACACAGCCCACCCCAGAACCCATCCTGTCTCGTCATCCCCAAGGCTGGGATTACAGGCATCTGCTGCTGTGCCTGGCTGTGGGTGCTGAGGATTGAACTCGGACCCTCACGCTTGTGGAGGAATCATTTACTCACTGAGCCGCCTCCCAGAAGCCCACCAGGTGGACAGCTGTTTGCCAGGCATTTGTAAGACCCTGGGTCCCATTCCCGAAAGTTCAGTCTCTCTTCTCTCTAAAATATTTATCATTTATTATTATTAGCTTATTTATTTTGGGGGACAGAGTCTCACTATGTACTCCTGGCTGGGCTGGAACTTACTGTGTAGACCAGGCTAGCCTTGAACTCATGGAGATCTGTGGGTTTCTGCCTGCCAAGTGCTGGTACTTAAGGCATGTGTATGCATGTCTGTGTGCTACGTGTGTGCAGTCCCAGTGGAGGCCAGAAGAGGGCTTGGATCATCTGGAATTGGAGTTACAGATGGTTGTGAGCTGCCACATGGGTGCTGGGAATTGCTCCAAAGTCCTCTGAAGAACAGCCAGTGCTCTTAACTGCTAAGCCCTCTCTCCAGACACTCTTTCCTCTTTTTCATTTAAACATACATTTTTTTTGGGTTCAATTTCTTGGAAAAATGATCTGAATGTAGTATTTGTAAAATTCCAGGGTTTTAGTTATTTAAGAAAAATCACTTACTTTTAATTGTGGCAAAATATACTTAACAAAAATTCTCCCTTGCTGGAGCTGGGGAGATGGCTCAGCAGCTCAGGGCAAGGGCTGCTCTTACAGAGGCCTGGATTTCGCTTTCCAACACCCAAGCTGGGCAGCATATACGGCCTGTAATTCCAGCACTACGGACCGGCACCTTCTTCTGGGCTCTGTGGGTGCCTGCGTGCATGTACACATACGCATACACATGAGTAAAAATAAAAATACATCTTTGGCTGAATGGTTTATTGAGTATCCTGCAAGGATCAGGCTAGGCAGTCACTGAGTGCCTCCTGAAGCCGTGTGGCTTCGCTGTGCCTTTCCAGTGTGGCTTGTTTGGAGGTGCCCTCGGGGAGGGGGTGCCCATGGGCTCTTTCCATGTTTCCATCCCTGCCCTGGAGACACTGTAGAAGCTTTTTGTCCCGTTGCAGAGAGAGATGTGTTTAAGGGGATGACTGTGATGACTTCCATGTTTAAGGGGATGACTGTGATGACAGTGCTTATCACCTGGGGATGACTGTGAAGATAAATGTGGACAGATGGCTATAGAGTCCATATAGCCCGGGTCCTACACCTCCTAAGTGCTGGTATCAATGGAACCCAGGGCTTGGTGAATGCCATGAAAGCACCCTACCAACTGAGTCCCATCCCCAGCCCTGCCTGGGCTTTCTATATAGTCAGTGACTGGCCTTCTGTGGCAGGTCATGCCCTGTATCACCAGGACACTCCCTGTACCCTCAGCCTTTCCTGGTGGCCTGTGATGCTCCTGGCTCCCTTGCCCACTTCCTGTCTTCCCTGCTGTAAGAAGCTTCTGGACCCCTCTGGGTTCTTACACAGCTGCTTTGGGCAAAGCACACTGCACAATGAGAGACACTGATTGTCCCAGAAGACCTCGAGGCATAGGGTGTGGGCAGGGCTCCAGGGAGGGTGCAGGGTCAGGGCAGGAAGGTGCCTCACATCCTTCTCCTCTCTTGGGTGCAAAGACAGGTCACGTCTACACAGGTTCTGCCTCTTTAGTGACTGTTCCTTTCACGGGGGCCAGGCAGCTTTCAGAGTTGGATAAGGGGCCGGGGATGGCGCACTGCTCTTGCAGAGGACCGGAGTTCAGTGCCTGACACCTATATCAGGCAGTTCACAACTGCCTGTAGTTTCTTTCTTTCTTTCTTTCTTTCTCTTTCTTTCTTTCTTTCTTTCTTTCTTTCTTTCTTTCTTTCTTTCTTTCCTTCCTTCCTTTTCCTCCCTCCCTTCCTCCCTCCCTCCCTCCCTCCTTCCATCCCTCCCTCCCTTCCTTCCTTTTCAAGACAGGGTTTCTTTGTAGCTTTGTAGCCTGTCCTGGAACTTGCTCTGTAGACCAGGCTGGCTTCAAACTCACAGACATAGGCCTGCCTCTGCCTCCCTAGTGCTGGGATTAAAGGCGTGCACCACCAACACCTGGCTCCGCCTGTAACTTCCACTCTAGGGGATCTATATCCTCCTCTGGAAGATTACATGTGTACCCCCCACAATTTAAAATAAAATGACATCTTACAAAAATAAATTGACTGGAGAGGGAGAGCCTAGGGAATAGGTCAGTGTGGAGAGGGGTTTGCTACCAACCCAGACAACAGGGGACCTGGGGATGAGATGGAGCCTTGGCATGGCCTGGAGAGGCAGGAGGAGCCCAGGTACATCTGAGCGGAGCCCTCATACCCACGGGGTGCATCTTTGCAGAAGGGCCACCCCTCATGCTGGGGTGCAAGGTGAGCCTGGTGTGGAGCCCTGGTGGCCTCTCTGTTTTGGAATGGCGGCTTGCCCCTCCCTTCTCCTCCGTGACACTGGCCTCTCCTGACTTCTTCCCTCAAGAGTTCAGGGACCTCTGCACCACACAAGCTCATGGGAGATCAGATCTGCTTCAGATTCCCAGGGCCTGATAGCCTGCCCTGACCTCGAGAGGGACATGGCCTCAGGGCGAGCATGAGGGGTCTGTAGGAGGAGGATCCTGTCCCTTGTCCCCATCCTGCACTTTCCCTGCTCAAGTCTTCCCATTGGACCTGCCCCCAACGTCTGTAGTCTGAGGCTCAGCTGTAGCTGTAGAGTGACTGAGGTCAGCTTTCCTCGAGGCTATGACTCCTGCCATGTTGGGGTGCTCTCTCACACCTGCTAGTGTGGGCAGCCTGTCCACCCCCGGAGCCCCTTCCCCCTTCCATCTGATGTGAGGCTTTTCCAGCTGAGGCCTCATTTGGCTAAGTAGAAATTTAGTATAGCATTTTTGGAGTTTGGGCTTACAAGTTGACAGGTGTTTTGTTTCTTGTCCAAAATGAAAATTTCAGTAGTCATTTTTGTTTCTGGACTTAGATTTTTGTCCTGAGAAGCGTAATTTGTTGTGTAAGGGTCCCCAGGGATGGGGTGTCTGTCACATAGGGCAGTGGGAAGGAGCTGACAGAATGTGGTGTCTAGCCTCACCCCACAGGGGACTGGGGAGCGCAAGCTGCCCTTGCACAGTGGGGACTGGACTGTTGGATGTCTGAGTCAGTGGTGAGACGGGGTGAGCAGGGAGGCGGGGTGATCTGGGAAGGAACTGTCCACACCTGCAAAGGCCACCGGGTGAGGCCCAGAGAGGCCCAGAACCTCTGCTGACTTCCCTGGAGGGAAGAGGGTGCCTGTCGTCCCCCAGGGAGACCTTCTCCTCACACCCCAGCTCACCAGAGTCCTGGAGGCCCCAATGTCTTTCTCTCCCTCCCACCTCCTCCTACATGGGGTTTCTCTGTGTAACAGCTCTGGATGTCCTGGCACTCGCTCTGGAGACCAGGCTGGCCTCAGACTCACAGAGATCCTCCTGCCTCTGCCTCCCGAGTGCTGGCATTAAAGGCGTGTGCCACCAACGCCTAGCTTGCAACTTTCTTTCTTAAGATGTAGTTTTATCTGTGTGTGCACACGTGTGTCTTTGCATGTGTGTGTGCACATGTGTGTGTCTGTGCACACGTGTGTCTTTGCACTGTGTCTCTGTGCACATGTGTCTTTGCACGTGTGTCTTTGCATATGTGCACACGTGTGACTCTGCACATGTGTCTGTACACGTGTGTCTGTGCACATGTGTCTTTGCACGTGTGGTCTTTGCACACGTGCACACGTGTGTCTCTGCACATGTGTGTGTCTGTATGTGTGTCTTTACACATGTGTGTGTTTGCACATGTGTGTCTTTGCACATGTGTGTGTGTTTGCACATGCATGGAGGCCAAAAGGTAGCACAAGGCATCTTCTTTTATTACTCCCACCATTCCTTTGAGGCAGAGGCTCTCCTTGTACTTGGGACTTGTGTCCCAGCTGGGCTGGAAGGCTCAAGTCCAGGAACCCTCTGTTCCCACCTCTCTCATGCCTGGGGTCACAGGTGTCTGTGTGGACGCTGTTGTCACATGGGTGGGTGCTGGGGTCACAGGTGTCTGTGTGGACGCTCTGTTGTCACATGGGTGGGTGCTGGGGTCACAGGTGTCTGTGTGGACGCTCTGTTGTCACATGGGTGGGTGCTGGGGTCACAGGTGTCTGTGTGGACGCTCTGTTGTCACATGGGTGGGTGCTGGGGTCACAGGTGTCTGTGTGGACGCTCTAGTGTCTATGCTGTTCTTCCAGCTGTTTCCTGTCCCCCTGAGTGGGCAGGAGGCTGGAGAGGCCGGGAGACTGCGGTTCTGCCCAGAAGCCGGAGCTCTGACTGAGCCCCCATCTCTTCCTATCGCACCCCAGATTGCCTCTTCAAAGTCTGCCCCATGAACCGATACTCGGCACAGAAGCAGTACTGGAAGGCCAAGCAGACTAAACAGGACAAGGAGAAGATTGCCGACGTGGTGCTGTTGCAGAAGCTGCAGGTGTGTGCACAAGTATGCCCGGGACGCGGGGCGTCCGCTGCTCAGGGCCAGTGGGGGCTTCATGCACGAGATGAGCGTTGTGAAAACTGCCATGGGCAATGACTGGTGTAAAAGGCCATGAGTCGGGGCTGGCAGGGAGAGGAGTGCCCATCTAGGAACCGATGCCTGTATAAATCCTCCCTGCCAATCACACGACAGGCATAGCTCTGTAGCAGGGCACGTGACTCAGCGATTAGCTATGAGCAACCCCAAACAGCTGTACTCAGACTCTCTGTCCGTCTAGAGGTGACGTTCCAGGGAACCTCACTGGTTTCCTCTTAATCTCCCATTTGCCTTGTAAAGCTGAGCTTCTTGGGACCCATCTGACCACACTGTGAGTGTGGACTGAGCAGAGACGGCCTCCAGGTCTCTGACTCCCCAGGTCTCTGACTCCCCAGTTCTCTGACTTCCCCAGGTCTCTGACTTCCCCAGGTCTCTGACTTCCCCAGGTCTCTGACTCCCCAGTTCTCTGACTCCCCAGGTCTCTGACTTCCTCAGGTCTCTGACTCCCCTTGGGTTTCTTGGACACACGTATAATGCTGTGGTGCTGGCCTGGTGGACCACAGGCTCCTGTGAGCGGAGTCTCAGCTCACACACCGAGTGACCTCTAAATAGAGATTAGGTGTAGCCCCAGCGCTGATGCCACCTGTGGGAAGCTTGGAGTAGGGTCAGCAGCTGTGGTAGGCCTCTGAGCTGCTTACCCTGAGGCCATGGGACTCAAATAGGGGCTGGGTGGACCCCACCCTGTAGCTGTGACCTGGATGTGGAGAGAGGGCAGACGGGGCTCCTGGAGCTCTCGTCTCAGGGTGGGGCTGTTCCAGGCTTCTTCCTACAGCCAGTGTAGACTGAGCTGAGCTGGGGATGAGACACAGGGCTCACACCTGCATCTGAGCCTCACAGTGTAGGTTTGTCACGTGACACAAGCTTGGCTTCCTGGCAGCCTCTGTGGCCCTGGCTTGATATACCCTGGACTTGGTAACAGCACTGAGAGTGAGGAAAGGGCAGAGGGGCCACTGTCCTCAGAGTGTTCTTATCTGATGGAGGAGGCCTTTCTTCAGGATGGCACAGTTTAAAGAGGCTTCCTGAAGAGGTAAAGAGCTCGTCCTTGAGCAGGTAGGGGAAGGGAGGGGGAGGTGTCCTTTGCCCAGCTTAGTCTGGAGTGGAGGTAACCCACAGAATGGGGTAAGGAGTGTATACAGGCTTAAGTTGCTGGAGGTGTCAGAGGCATTAGGGCTCAGGGTCCTCCTGGAAGGTCCCTCAGGGTGGGATCAGGCTTCTTGGCCATGGTGAGCGATCAGGCCACTTTTGAAGTCTCAGGCCATTGCTTTTGTGAGAGGGATTTCCCCATCCCTGAAGGGCCTCCTGGATGCAGCACCAGAGACTGTGTGTGTGCGTGTGTGCGTGTGTGCATGTGCATGGGGGCATCTTTGTCTGGAGCAGTTTCTGATACCCTTGCCCCCTGCGTGTTTGCAGCACGCAGCCCAGATGGAGCAGAAGCAGAACGACACAGAGAACAAGAAGGTGCATGGTGACGTGGTCAAGTATGGCAGCGTGATCCAGGTGTGGCCTTGGTGCAAGTACTCTCTGCCCTGTGCTCGTGTGTGTGCATGTGCGTGCTCGTGTGCGTGTGTGTGTGTGTGTGTGTGTGCGTGTGTGCGCGTGTGCGTGTGTGTGTGTGTGCGCGCGCGCGTGTGTGTGTGTGCGCGCGCGTGTGTGTGTGTGTGTGTGTGTGTGCGCAGGCGCCTGGCGTGGTATCCCCAGTGGATGCCTTGCTACCGCCGTTTCTGCTGCAGGGCTGTACTGTGCCCAGGGGAGAGTTTTAGATCAGGAGTCATGAGTACAAATGAAGCTAGGCTCTGACCTCACAGTGTGGCTTTGCCTTTCTTAACTGGTGGCCTTGGACAAATTCCTAACTCCGTGCACCTCATTTACTTCATTTGTAAACAAGTCAGTGGGGTGGAGATGGCTCAGTGGTTAAAAGCACCTGCTGTGCCGGGCGTTGGTGGTACACGCCTTTAATTCCAGCACTTGGGAGGCAGAGGCAGGCAGATCTCTGTGAGTTCGAGGCCAGCCTGGTCTACAAGAGCTAGTTCCAGGATAGACTCCAAAGCCACAGAGAAACCCTGTCTCGAAAAACCAAAAAAAAAAAAAAAAAAAAAAAAAAAAAAAAGGAAAGCACCTGCTGCTCCTGCAGAGGACCTGAGTTCATTTCCAGGCACCACATGGGCTACGTACAACTGTCTGTAACTCCAGTTCCAGGGGACACGTTGCCCTCCTCTGGCCTCTGTGGGTACTGCATGCACTTGAACGTAGGAAAAACCTTTCTACACATAAAATAAAAATAAATAAATCTTAAAGCGGCCCAGTGATAGTGTTTGCTAGATCGGGATTCATAGGAGTAACATGGAAATAAAAGCAGACACCTTCAGAAGCGGAATTGTTCCTTTAACCAGAACTTTTAAAGTCTCTTTGGGATCTGTGCATGGGGTGTGGTCTCCTTGGGCTTTGGTGGGGCGGAAATGGGATGGAAGATTCCATCTGTTTGTCAGTTAGTTCCCCTGCTGTCTCAGAGTGGTAGATACCTCGCAGAGATATGCTGATCCTCTAATCAGAGGCCTCAGGGGCCTAACAGCCCACAGGCGTTATTGACGAAGTCCACTTACCCATGCCTAGTTTCTTAGTCCACCTGAGGCTTTAACCCTTCATTGTTTGCCTGTGGGGATTGTTACAAGATCCCGTGTAAGATTAGCTAAAGCTGTAGACAGAGCTTAATTGGTAGGGTGCTTGTCTGCATACACAGAGCCCAGGGCTAATTGCTGGAGCTCGTAACTGGGCAGGTACCAGCACTCAGGAAGTGCGTGCAGGAGGGTCAGAAATCCCAGGTCGTCCTGGACTGTGTCTGAGGAAGGGTGACACGGGCTTAAATGTGTGTAATTTTTGTTGCTTCGTGGAGGTGCGGGACGAGCCAGGACCTGTGCGCACCTGGCAGGTCATCTCCCGCTGAGCTGCACCTTGACCTGGTATGCAGCTTTGAGACCAGTTGCTTCTCTGTGACAAGGTGTGCATGTTTATGACTGTGTGTGTGTGTCACTGTGTATCAGTCTGTGACAGTGTGTCTGACAACCTGTGTAACCAAGGGTCTAGTGTCTGCCTCCCTGAGGGCCTGGCCTCCCAGGCCTAGTGGCCTCACTCCTGCCCTACCTATGCCTCAGCTTTTGCACATGAAAAGCAACAAATACCTAACCGTGAACAAGCGGCTGCCAGCCCTGCTGGAGAAAAACGCCATGCGCGTGACGCTGGATGCTACGGGCAATGAGGGCTCCTGGCTCTTCATCCAGCCCTTCTGGAAGCTTCGGAGCAATGGGGACAATGTGAGCACAAGGCCAGGGCAGGAGGGGGCTGGGTGGAGGTGTGGCCCACACTCCAGAGGATTGCATGAGGTTCTAGTCCTTTCTCAGGAGAGGGACGGGGCAGAGGGAGGGGACCCTGATGGAAAATGCCTTCATTCTCACCCCACTCTGCCTTGTCTGTCCCCAAAGGTGGTCGTGGGGGACAAGGTGATCCTGAATCCTGTCAATGCAGGGCAGCCTCTGCATGCCAGCAATTATGAGCTTAGTGACAACGCTGGCTGCAAGGAGGTGAGGGGGGGTGAGGGGGGCATGTCCTGGGGCTGAGGGTTGGCACAGGTCCCTGGCTGTGTGTGTGCCCTCCCCAGTCTCTGGTGGTGCTGTCTGCAACCTGCCTCCATGCCTTGCCTCCCGGTGTTCAATCTCATCCTTCACCCACCCGCCAGCTGCCATAAGGGTCCTGCTTAGGGTCTGACACCTCGGTTTCCGGAAGCACCCTGAGACACAACAGGAGCTGGGCTGGCTCCCCCCTCCTCCTCTTTTCCCCTCCCCCTCCCTGGTCTTCAGCATTGGCCACTCTTGGCAGCTGGCTCTGCTGGCTGTGTCACCAGCCTGCCTGTCCCCCATAGGTCAACTCTGTCAACTGCAACACCAGCTGGAAGATCACTTTATTCATGCAGTTCCGGGACCACCTGGAGGATGTGTTGAAGGGGGTAAGTGCCGAGCCCCTCCCAGCAGGCCCCTTCCTCTTCCTGTCAAATAACTGCCTTGGCTCTGTCCCCCTTCAGTTGCCCTCCACCCCAGGGAGTCGCCAGTGGGACCCAGCTATCCCTCGTCCCCTTGGCTCACTCACCTCATTTTCTTGCAAAGGAACATCGGAGGCCTCCCCACCTTGTCCTCTATCTTAGGGTGACCACACCCTTGGAGCCCCCTTTCCTGTCTCTGACTTTTACTCTGTGGGCCCCACATTGTGCCCTGAGCTTTGGCAAGGAAAGGCTGCTCCAAGGTCAGTGTCTCCCACCTGCCATCGGGGGTCAGTGTCTCCCACCTGCCATGGGGGGGTGTCAGTGCCTCCCCACCTGCCATCGGGGAGGGGGGGTCAGTGCCTCTTCTCTCTCCCCGCACATGTCAGTGTGCACACTGGGAGAGGAAGTGGCTGCCAGGCCAGAGTGGGGCTGGTCTGAGAGGCAGGGCAGCTGGTCCCCTTGCAGTGAATACTTGAGGCACTGGGAGGGGGGGGGGGGGGGGGTTTGGAACCCTGTAAAGCTATGTTTTTGGGGGGGGGGGGGGGGGGATGTTTGAGAACCCTAAAAACCATGTTTCTGATGGAGAGGCAGGTTAGGGGTAGGGTAGTGAAGAGTAGGAGGTACTCCACTTAGGAAGATAGTCTCAAAGAGCTGTGAGGGTGCTAGTCCCTGAAGCAGGTACCTTGAGGAGGCCAGCCCTGCTCCCTGCTAAGAAGCCCAGGGCACCCTCCACGCCTCCCTCGTCCCGATTGCCCTGGATTGCTCCAATGCTTGCTCTCTGTCCACTCAACCTTCACATTGTCTAAGAGTCTGCCAGAGCCCAGCCCATGTCCCCGAAGCCTCCCTGTGACACATCCTATTCCTCCTGGCTCTGGGCATTGTGTAAAAAACAAGCCCTTGGGCCCAGCTCTGCGGTTCTCACTCCAGCTTCTGGGGAGGCCGTCGTGGTGTTGGGGTTAGGCTCCAGGCAAGCTAGAAGCAAGGCATTCTCATCAAAGCCTTTCTCTGCGCCGGCCACAGTGTCCCTGGGCTCTGCTGTGGGCACTGACGCAGTCTGGGTAGGGATGTATCACTCACTTCCTCATCCGCCTGAAGGTGTCCCCTGAGCACTGTGTCTAGAGTCAGGTTCAGTGCAGGAAGACAGATAACTGCCATCAGATGACCATGTGGTGACAGCCGTGCTCTGAGAGCCTGCTGAGTGGCAGCTGCACAGGGAGGCAATGTGCAGGAGGACTAAGGTGTGGGCCCCAGGACTGACGGGACTGGGAGGCACCCTGCCTGGCTCTTGGCAGGGTGCCTCCCTTCTCTGCCTGGGTAATGTAACATCGTTCCATCAAACCAGAAGCCAGAGTGGCTCCATTTTATAGAAGACACAGCTGAGGCTCGAGCACATTAAGGAATGTATCCTAGCCCCTCATAGCTGGTGGAAACAAGATTCGAACTCAGTTTTTGTCTAAGGTCTGGGGGTGAACAAGCCATGGCTTCCACTCTGCAGCCACCACAGACAGCAAATGAAAGGGTGGTGCTGCTAAAGGGAGAGGGTAGCCCTGGGCTGGGAGACTGAGAAGGGGGTTCCTTCCTGCCTCCCCGGACGTGGCTGTTGGAGGCATTTGGAGATCCTGTGGAGAGGAGCCGGGTAGCTGGAGTATAGCGCTGTGCGCATCTCTCTCTCTCTCTCTCTCTCTCTCTCTCTCTCTCTCTCTCTCGGCTCACAGGCCACATTTGAGGGACTGGCCCTGTGCAGGCCCCTGGGCCTGGAGGTGTGACTGTGAGCCTCTGACCCGCTCCTACCCCGCCCCCCAGGGAGATGTGGTGCGTCTGTTCCACGCGGAGCAGGAGAAGTTCCTCACCTGTGACGAGTACAGGGGCAAGCTACAGGTGTTCCTGCGCACCACGCTGCGCCAGTCTGCCACCTCAGCCACCAGCTCCAATGCACTTTGGGAAGTGGAGGTCAGAGCCCGCACGCTGGCTTCACCCCCTTCCGTACCCCAGAGGATGGGTGTCTGTCATCCTTCCCCTGGCCCCTCCATAGCCAAGAGGCCAGGAAGGACCTGGGCACTTTGATCCCCACAGGCCCCCCAGGGTCTGGTCCCTCCTCACCTCACCCTTCCACATCCCCAGGTGGTCCACCACGACCCCTGCCGAGGAGGAGCGGGACACTGGAATGGCCTGTACCGGTTCAAGCACCTGGCCACAGGCAACTACCTGGCTGCTGAGGTGAGGGATGAGCAGGTGTGCGGGACATGCGTGTGTGCTGGGGACACGGGTAGCACGTGTGTGCTTGTTCATGCATTGGCCTATGGAGAAGGGGCCATGAAGGGCTCCCCTGCACAGCAGTCCCCGGAGTCACGTGGCCTTTGGGCCGGGGTAGGCATCTTGGAGTGCCTTCTGGGTATGATGTGGTGTTTGAGGGGTGTGTGCACTGATAGCATCATAATCCCACGTCACCTCGCACCTTTGTCCAGGAAAACCCCAGTTACAAAGGTGATGGCTCAGATCCCAAAGCAGCAGGACTGGTGAGGAGTGGGCAAGGCATCTGCCAGGGGTGGAGGGGAGGGGTGGGAGGGCAGGGGGCCGGGAAGGTGGTGGTTGAGGGGGAAGGAGGGGACACCAAGAAACCTGGGGAGCAGGTGGGATGGAGGGAGAAGGTCCCTCAGTTGGGCCTGAGAGGAAGGATGGGATCTTGCCTGACCCGGGGGTCCTCATGCCAGGGGGCCCAGGGCCGCACGGGCCGCAGGAACGCAGGGGAGAAGATCAAGTACCGCCTGGTAGCGGTGCCACATGGCAACGACATTGCCTCGCTATTCGAGCTGGACCCCACTACGCTGCAGAAAACTGACTCCTTTGTACCCCGGTAGGTGTGTGCCATCTGCCCTTGGCCCTTTGTTTTTAGGGGCCTCTGGGCTCTGCAGTTCTCAGACCTGTTTGCAGCCGGCCTGAATGCAGGCACAGCCTTGTTAGCTGTGCGGGTCTGCCCTGTGCTCACTACATAGTTGCTTCTCAGCCTCCTGGCCCAGCCAGCCAGGTGCTCAAGCTCCAGGTGTGAACTGCACCAGGTGTGAACTGGTTTGTTCTCAGCCAGGCACCTGGAGAACCCAGATGTCTGCCTGTAAGGTCCCACCAACGCTGAGAATGTAGGGTGTCACATTCCTGGGGCCGGGGCTGTGGCTTGGTCGGTAGAGTACTTGCCTGACGGGCACAAAGGCCTGGGTTCAGTATCTAGCGCTGGGCAAACCAGGGGAGGTGGCTCAGGCCTGTAATTCCAGCACTCCAGAGTCGGAGGGAAGACAATGTAATCCTCCTCTATATGGCAAACTTGGAGCCAATCGGGGCTGCCGGAGACCTTGTCTTTAAGAAACAAGTGAAAGGAACCGTCACAGGGTTGTAGAGATGACTGCAAACAAAGCGCTTTCTGTCCAGGTCTGAGGACTGGAGCCTGGGTGTCCAAAACCCACGTGAAAGCTGGGTGGGCATGAGGCCTGTCTCCCAGCATGCGGCAGAGACTGGGACTCTCCATAGTCAGTCAGCATGGCCAGCTAGATGCTGCAATACAGCATGGTTCAACAAGAGACCCTGCCTCCATATACAAGATGGAGGGTGATGCAGTGGCCTTATGCCAACCTCCAGCCACAAGCGCACACATGCACTCACGTCCGTACACTCCTGTGCACACACACGCATGCCTCAAAACAGATCGAGTCACCTGGGCCTTGGTGCTTCTGACCATGAGACCTCAGGTAGCCGTGTCCACCACACTGCCTCAAGTCTGCCATCTGTAGGGTGGGAATATCAATGGTCTGTCACTAGGCTTTCTGGGGAATTAATGGAGGAACCATTAGCCCCTTGCCTCTAACCTGACACCCTTGGGGGCTTGGTTTGTCCAGGTGAATTCTGGCCCCATGCTTACCAAAAGCATTGGTTTGGGGTGCACAGGGCCCACCCATCCTCACTACCCACACTGTGAAGGTGCGGTGTGCACCCTGGGCATGGAGAACAGAGGAAGAGGACGGTGTTGGGGGCTGGTGAGCGGAGAGTGGCTGCGGTCTGTGGCACCCTCCCTCACTGGCTCTGTCCTCCCACTTAGGAACTCCTATGTGCGGCTACGGCACCTGTGCACCAACACGTGGATCCAGAGTACCAACGTGCCCATCGACGTAGAGGAGGAACGGCCTATCCGGCTCATGGTGTGGGCCCTCGTGCATGGGCTGGGTCCTGCTGGAGCTTGTCCCTGGCCCCCTGCTGACCCTTGTCCGTCTCTACAGCTGGGCACGTGCCCCACCAAGGAGGACAAGGAGGCCTTTGCCATCGTGTCGGTGCCTGTGTCTGAGATCCGTGACCTGGACTTTGCCAACGATGCCAGCTCCATGCTGGCCAGTGCTGTGGAGAAACTCAACGATGGCTTCATCAGCCAGAACGACCGCAGGTGCGCTGTGACAGGGATTGCAGCGGCTTTCTCAGACCGCCAGCTCCCAAATCATGACACAGGGGCTTATTATTAGTTATGAGTGCTCAGCCTTAGCTTATGCTTGGCCCACCAGCTCTTATAACTTAATTCAACCTGTTTCTCTTCATCTGTGTTTTGCTTCAGGGCTTTTTGCCTTTCTTTCCTTCTGTGTGTCCTACTTTCCTGTTTCCTTTGTGTCTGTCTACCCGGTCCTGGGCATTCCCTTCTCTTTCTCCCTCATTCTCTTCTCTCCAGCCTGGATTCCTCCTCTTATTCTCTCTGCCCACCAGCCCCACCTATCCCTTTACTGTCTACCTATTGGCTGTTCAGCTCTTTATTAGACCCATCAGGTGCCTCAGGCAGGCAAGGTGAAACAGCAACACACCTTTACATTGTTAAACAATGTGACACGTCTTTGCCCAGTTGAAGTAATATTCCACAGCAGGAGAGCCTGGCAGGAGGGGAGGGAGACAGATGACTGAGTTTCTCTCTAGGGTCACAGAGGCGTTGCAAGCCAGAAACCAGGTAGTTAGGGTGGTACTCAGCCCCCAGGGAACCAGGCTGGCCATTCACCCCTGGAGTGGGGAGTCTGCCTCACTGCTTACACCATCCCCGAAGTAGCCTTATGGAGCCACGGGGGCTCAGAGGAGTTAGGGGACGCGTTCAGGATCACATAGCTGTAAGCGGTGGAATCGGGACAGTGCAGACCACTTCACACCAAACAGTCCCTGCTCGCCCCCTCACCCAGCAGCTCTTTCTACGATGTTCTACTACGAGCTTTGTAGTCTTGAGGCAGTTTGGGGGCAGTTTGGGGTCCAGGGAGGGTTGGGGTGTGGGGCATTTCCTAAGAGCAGGTTGGTGAGGGGTGGGGCCATGACGGGCTTTGCAGCAGGACCGATGGATGACTGACTCTGGAAAGGGCTGTTGGCCCGTATGGGCACATGCTGGCTGGGCCCTAGGGGAGCTGCCCTCAGTGTGTCATGCTTGCTCCTGGTGTCACACTTGGCCAGGTTTGTCATCCAGCTGCTGGAGGACCTGGTGTTTTTTGTCAGCGACGTTCCTAACAATGGGCAGAATGTCCTGGACATCATGGTCACCAAGCCCAACCGAGAGCGGCAGAAGCTGATGCGGGAGCAGAGCATACTGAAGCAGGTGTGCGTGCTCTCCAGGGGCTCCTGGCCTCTCCTGAAGGGGCTGTGGAGGGTGTAGCTCAGCGGGAGAGCACCTGCCTAGGATCCATCCGTGAAGAGCTGGGAGCATGGATCAGTGGTAGAATGCCTGCCTAGGATTCGCCAGGGAGGGCCTGGGGTATGGATCAGGGTAGAGTCCTTGCCTAGACCTTTCGAGGAGGTGGGGATTTGGCTCAGTGGCAGAGCACTTGCTTAGCATATCCAAGGCAAGGGCCGAGGTGCCATCCCCAGCACTGGGGGAAAGATGCATGTGAGCCCCCGGTTTCCCTAAGCACCCTACAGGAGTCGCCTCATGACCCCTCCTGCAGGAGAACTGGTGTCCTTGTTATACTGATGCGGACAGGAAGTCCACAGAGGCTGAGTCCTGCTGAGCGGGACAGCTCTGGGATGGAGCCGATCAGGGTTGGGGTTCCTGGGATGATGAGGGTGCAGGCAGGATGGGAGAGTCCCTCTCACTCTCTACACGCCTCAGATCTTCGGCATCCTGAAGGCTCCGTTCCGTGACAAGGGGGGCGAAGGTCCACTGGTGCGTCTGGAGGAATTGTCCGACCAGAAGAACGCCCCTTACCAGTACATGTTCCGCCTGTGCTACCGGGTGCTACGGCACTCCCAGGAGGACTACCGCAAGAACCAGGTGGGCGCAGGGCACCCTGCCGGCATCGGCCCTGCCTTTGTGCCTCGGCAGGTGTCTCTCTGGCAGCCAGGCACTGTTAGGCACTGGGTACAAGAGGGCACCAGATGATGGGGCCGGGTTCTGGGGTGCTTGCCTGGCTGGGTGGGAGGGGGAAAGGGAGGGAGGGGAGAGGGGGGGTGGAGAGAGGAGAGTTACTCAATGTGGCTTCATTAGGAGGATAGACAAATAGGGTTCAGTGACTCCCCAAGTCTGTCTTTGGGTGCCCAGTTGAGCTCTAGGTTTAAATGGAGGAGGGCCAGGGGGCCAGGGGGCCAGGGCTGAAGACCGTGGTCACAGTTGGGCCTGCCTGGTGTCTCAGCCCAGTCCTACAATATTACAAGACCGTCTGGTCCAGGGTGTAGCCGTCGCCACCTAGATAACTGCTCTATAAGAGGTGGGGTGCCCTGAACTGCAGGCTCACAGTTACTTGACCGTTCCAGTCCTGTCACAAAGATGTGTCAGTCCTCATGTCCCTGGGCTCCAGGATGACTCCAGAGGGAAGGCTAAGAGGTGGGCAGCGGCAAGCCGGAGTCTGAGCCATACAAAGGGGACGGAATCTGGCGGCTAGGGACGCGCTTGCCTAGCATTCGTGATGCCTGGGTTCATTCCCAGCACCACATCCACTGGGTGTGGCGGTAAATGCTTGTGGAGGCAGGAGGGAGGATCAGATGTCACCCCCGTTCCACAGGAGACTGACGGGGATGAAGGCAGCAATGCCAGGCTTTCCTCCTCAGTTAGGGTCCCTACCCATGCTGGTCCCGATGTGGAAGTCAGAGTCAAGGCTCTGCAGCAGAGCAGCCTCGTCCCTGGTCCATGGCTCTGGTGACCCCACCCCGTCTGCCTGCCCCAGGAGCACATCGCCAAGCAGTTTGGGATGATGCAGTCTCAGATCGGCTACGACATCCTGGCTGAGGACACCATCACTGCTCTGCTGCACAACAACCGGAAGCTGCTGGAGAAGCACATCACCAAGACGGAGGTGGAGACCTTCGTCAGCCTCGTGCGCAAGAACAGAGAGCCCAGGTGCCCGCCACTCTCTGCTGCCTGCTTTTGTTTTAAACGTTTACTTATTTTAGGTTTGTGAGTGCTCTGTCTGCATGTACAACTTTTACACCCAAAGAGGGCAGCAGATCCCACTATAAATGGCTGTGACCCACCATGTGGTTGCTGGGAATTGAACTCAGGTCCTCTGGAAGAGCAGCCAGTGCTCTTAAACTCTCAGACGTCTCTCCAGCCCTGTTTTTTTTTTTTTTTCTTTTTTTTTTTTTGTTGGTTGGTTGGTTTTTTGTTTTGTTTTTTGTTTTGTTTTGTTTTTTTAAGACAGTCTCACTGTGTAGCTTCGGAGGTTGTCGTGGAACTCACTTTGTAGACCAGGCTGGCCTTGAACTCACAGAGATCCGCCTGTCTCTGCCTCCCGAGTGCTGGGATCAAAGGCGTGCACCACCACCGCCTGGTTTCTGGTGCTGGTTGTTAGCTGCCGAAACACCTGCCCTGTGTGCACTGCCTCCTGTCAAGTGCCTGGGGGAGAGGCGAACTCTGCAATTTGGCTCAGTGTAGCCATAACAGATCCAAGTTCCCACACAGATGGTAACCTCCAAGCCCCCGTCGACTGAGTCAGTGCCCGCCTGAACTGGTTGTTAAATACTTCGAATGTCAAGCTTAGTCTGTGCCTGCCCTGACCACTTACTTTTCGCTCTGTCCCAGGGAGGTGCCATAGTCTGCTACCCCTGGGCAGCTGGAAAGGAGGGCGTTAGGCTTCCCGTCTAGAGGGCAGCTTCTGAGTCTGTTGCTGGCCCTGTTGACCCCACCCAGGTTCCTTGACTACCTCTCCGACCTGTGCGTGTCCAACCACATAGCCATCCCTGTCACCCAGGAGCTCATTTGCAAGTGTGTGCTGGACCCCAAGAACAGTGACATTCTTATCCAAACTGAGTGAGTGGCAGCCCACCCCAGGGGCTCACTGGGGTTCAGACTGGTGCTGACACTGTGTTCCTAGAGCCTGCAGTGCCTAGCACTGGGCGTGTTGGGGTGGCAGAGGGGCTGTGGGGCAGAGAGGGGAATGAGCCATAGCCCTGTCCTGAGACTCCACACAATGTGCCATGGGCACCTCGGGTTCAACCTACCTGGGGCTAGACATGGCAAGAAACTGTCTGCAAAAATAACTAAGGGGCATCGGGGCTCTGAGCAGCTGGAGGTGCTTCCCTGACAGTGCTGTTGGCCATAGGCTGCGGCCCGTGAAGGAGATGGCACAGTCTCACGAGTACCTCAGCATTGAGTACTCGGAAGAGGAAGTGTGGCTCACGTGGACAGACAGGAACAACGAACACCATGAGAAGAGCGTGAGGCAGCTGGCCCAGGAGGCGCGGGCGGGCAATGCTCATGATGAGAACGTGCTCAGCTACTACAGGTACCAGCCCAGGGCGGAGGACCCGTCTCGGGTTCCAGTGTGTCAGGGGCACTCTGCCTATGCCCTGCACAAAGCCTTTCTTCACACAAGAACAGAGGGCGGCCTGAGGCCCAGGCTTTCCATAGGCATGCCATTGCAGTCACTGGACAGTCTCCTGGGTTTTCACTTATCTAATTTTGTTATTTAATGTCATGTTTTTAGTGTGTGTGCGTGTGTATGTATGTATCTGTGGATATACATGTGTCATGGCTCTCAGGGTCGATTCCTTCCACAGTGTGGGTCCTGGGGATTGAACTCAGTTCCTCAGGCTTGGCAGCAAGCCCCCACTGCCCACCGAGCGTCTGGCCATCTCTTGAATATTTTTTACTTCATTTTTGCTGTGTGGATGTTTTACCTGTGTGTATCTGTGCACCATGTGCTTGTCTGGTGCCTGTCGAGGCCATAAGAGGGCATTGAATCCCCTGGGACTGGCGTTACAGACCGTGTGAGCTACCACAGAGGTGCTGGGAATTGAACCTGGGTCCTCTGGAAGAACAGTCAATGCTAACCACTTGAGCCATCTCTCCAGCCCCTTATTTTTTTGAGACAAGGTCTTAGTAGATCAGACCACCCTCTAAGTCATGGCAGTCCTCCTGCCTCTGTGTGAATCATCACATCCGGCCTGCATTTTAGTTTTGTTTGTGTTTTTGCTTGTTTTTCAAGACAGGGTTTCTCTGTGTAGCTCCGGCTGTCTTAGAACTCGCTCTGTAGACCAGGCTGGCCTTGAACTCACAGAGATCCACCTGCTTCTGCCTCCTGAGTGCTGGGATTAAAGGCATGAGCCACCACTGCCTGGCTCTTTTGTTTTAGAGACAGTGTCTCTTTAGCCCAGGCTGGTCTTGAGCTCACGGTGATCTTGCCTCATCCTTCCTCGGGCTGGGATCATAGGTGTGAGCCACCACACCTGGCCCAGACACGTCTTACACGGTTGCACAGAAGGCTCTTGCTAACCACAAGCTGTGCTGGAGCACTGTTGATATCTTTGCTGCATCACTCACACACCACTGTCCCTGCAAAGTTGGGAACAAGCACAGAGGCTGAAAGAGCTTGCCTAGCATCTCAGGGCTGAGCCACAGGCCACACACAGGGTGGCCCTGAGCGGTGATGGAGCGGTGCAGAGGAGCAGGCATGATGTCACCCAGAGCTTCGCTTCTGTTATCCCCTCATTGCATGGCACACCTTTCACCAGCTGGCTCTTCCCACTCTGCCAGCCACTGCTTCCTGTCCTAGCTGAGCAGAAAATATCTGCCGCCTTCACCAGGAGGGGAGATGTCCTGTCAGCTGTTGGTCCTTCTGCCACTCTGTAGAGTCCTCACCAGGGCTGAGCTGTTGCCTGAGGCCGCAGCTGCTGCTTTCTGACGCGCTGCCTCCTGCAGGTACCAGTTGAAGCTGTTTGCCCGCATGTGCCTGGACCGCCAGTATCTGGCCATCCACGAGATCTCCAAGCAGCTGGGAGTAGACCTGCTTTTCCTGTGCATGGCGGATGAGATGCTGCCCTTTGACCTTCGAGCCTCCTTTTGCCACCTGATGCTGCATGTGCACGTCGACCGTGACCCCCAGGAGCTGGTGACGCCGGTCAAGTTTGCCCGCCTCTGGACAGAGATCCCCACAGCCATCACCATCAAGGAGTGAGAGTCTGGAGGGTGGGTGGCTAGCCGGGGCAGAGGCATGGGGGGTGGGGCGGGGCATGGGGCCCTCATGCCTCCTGCCTCCATCTCTAGCTATGATTCCAATCTCAACGCCACCCGGGATGACAAGAAAAACAAATTTGCCAGCACCATGGAGTTTGTGGAAGATTACCTTAACAATGTGGTCAGCGAGGCCGTGCCTTTCGCCAATGAGGAGAAGAACAAACTCACCTTCGAGGTGGGCTGCGGATGCTTGGGGCTGGTGGGGTGTGGTTCAAATCGATCTGCATCCAAGGATGGGTTGTAGGATCCATGACCTCGTTTTCCTGGTGCCCTCAGCCCATGGGGGGGGGCACATAGATAGCGGAGGCTCCCCAATAGACAGATTCTCTGGGGTCCACTCAACCCATCAGCCAGGGGCTGCCTCTCCCAGGCCCTGTCTCCTGGGAATTCCATCCTCTGGCCACCCCTGCATCTGGTTTTCTCTATCCTGTTTGGATCCCAGCAGAGCCACACTCTCCCCCTGAACAATCACCAGCTTGAAAACCACGCCCCTCCACAAGTACACTGGTCTAACCCACAAACTACACCTCTGATTGTGTTGGTCCTGCCCCCACAAAACCACACACCCCCCACTGCCCCTATGTGCCTCAGTCAGTCGCACCTCCGTATGCGCTGGTCTCTTCCCTCCAGGAAGCCACGCCCCTGCAGATATGACTCCCACTCACCCTCCCTTGGCCCCGCCCCCCACAGGTGGTCAGCCTGGCGCACAATCTCATCTACTTCGGCTTCTACAGCTTCAGCGAGCTGCTGCGGCTCACACGCACCCTGCTGGGCATCATTGACTGTGTTCAGGCGCCGCCAGCTATGATGCAGGCCTATGAGGAGCCTGGTGGTGAGGCTCGGCCCCCCCCTCCCAGTTCTTCCTGGCACCCCCCAGTGCTACCTGCTTCCTGGCCCTGCCAGCAGCTCCCTCCATCCTGCTAGCCCAGGTGCTGTGATGCTTTGGGGTCTTGCTTGGCCTTGAAGTGTGAGGGGGTTCAACAGCCCCGCAGCAGAGGCAGAGCGAGGAGGGGCCAGGGGCTCTCGGTCTGCAGCCCTCCCTGGGTGTTGGGGTCTGGCCCCTGATTTTGGCATTGCTGGCACGGTGTCCCCTTAGTTCCTCATGCTTCGTAGTGGCCCTCAGCTTTGCACAAAGAATTCACTCATCCCCACACTGCCCGCTTGCTTTTACCTTGGTCCATTGTTTTCCCAGACTTGGTATAAAGGCCCCCCC